TTGTCTACATCACTGAGTCATGACCCATTTCCACTCCTCCTCTCAAATTGTGTCACTCTGCTCAGCAATGGCAGGGCAGGGGGTCCACCACTGTCTAGTGAATATTGCCATTGTCTGTCTCACAGAGAGTTACAAGTCTGTCACCTGCTCACACTCTCTGTTACTTCTTAATCTCTCACTTCCTCCTTGAGTACAGCCATTATACTGAGCAGGTCACCCACCTGCTCACACCTCACATAGGTGGAGTCCCTGCCTCCCTTCTCTGGTAGTAATAGACTTGCTGGAGCCAGAGACTTGAACTGCCACTTCTTCAGGCAGGGACTTTCTGAATTGCCATCTTCTTTCTCACCAGACTTTCTGCCTGGTGGAGACCATTGCAAGATATAGAATCGCAAAATTGCTCAGGTTGGAAAAGATCAACCATATACTGCTGGGGAGGTACCAGATAGGTGGCTGGTCTACTAGCGGGCAGAGATACTACGCCCTGCTCTCCTGCCCTGCGTAAACTGCCACGCCTTGCCCTGTTTGCTCACCCTGTTCACAGCGCTCCCTAGAGGCAGATTTTAAACACTCATGGCATTGGTCCACCACTGCTCCTGGCTCCGCCCCCTTAGCATCAGATTACAGCAGAGAACAAAGTCAGCCGCTCCCTGACAGGTCTGCCTGTCAAAGCAGCCGAGGCGATTCCCTGCTGCCCTGCAGAATGCATCTGCTCCTTGTGGAGTACCTTGCCAAAAAGCCCTCTCTTCTCCACGCTGAACAAGCCCAGCTTCCTCAGCCTGTCTTCGTAAGGGAGGTGCACCAGCCCTCTGATCATCTTTGTGGCCTTCCTCTGGACACTCTCCAGCTTCCTGTCCTTCATGTATTGGGGGCCCCAGACCTGGACGTAGTACTCCAGATGGCGCCCCACCAAGGCAGAGTAGAGAGGGACAATCACCTCCCTGTCCCTGCTGGCCACCCCTCTTCTGATGGAGCCCAGCATCCATTTGCTTTCTGAGCTGCAAGAGCACACTGCTGGCTCATATTCAGTTTTTTATCCACCAGGACCCCAAGGTCCTTCTCTGCAGGGCTGCTCTCAAGGACTGCTCCTTCCAGTCTGTATAGATGCCTGGGATTCTTCCAGCCCAAGTGCAAAACCTTGCCCTTTGCTGTGCCAAGCCTCACAGGGTTCACACATGCGCCCATCTTTTGAGTTTCTTGAGGTCCGTCTGGATGTCTTCACTTCCTTCTCATGTGTCTACTGCATCACTCAGTTTGGTGTCAATCAGCAAACTTGCTGAGGGTGCACATAAGCCCATCATTGGTGTTACTGATGGAGATGTTGAAGAGCACAACAGCACTTTTTCTCTGCATCTGAGCTGATGAATATCTGCTCTTCATTGAAATGCTCTCAGGAGAAAAGGTTCATTGGGATCACCGCATTAAAGACTAAAAAAACTCTTTTAGTTCTCAAGAGCAATGCCTAGCATTCTATAATAGCCACAGCTGTACAGCCAAGGAAATAGAAAAACACTGGACTGAAAAGACAGTTTTCATGAATACATGTGTTTTCTTGAGACTTCAAAATGTTAACCTACTGCCCTAAGCTAACAGTTTTTGGTAGAATATTTTTCTTGGCATCTTTTTTACTGTACAACATAAGTATAAATAATAATTAAGGGAGACATACATGTGACCTAGAACTGAAGCCTTATCTGCCTTTTCCAGAGAACAATGTAGAGGCCAGGTAATTAAAGCACTGCATGAAAGAATGGGAAAGGGAAGTGAACTGGGGAAAGCTTCCAGTGTGCTGCCTTTAATTACAGATGTGAAACTTCAGAAGAAATCTTAGGAAACAGTCTTTCTGGGGTAGCAATAGGAGCCTCAATTTTACAACACAGATACATCTAGTGCCAACTGACCCTTTCAATGCAATAGGGTAGTACATTCTTTGAAGGCTATAGAAACATTCTTCCTTTAGATAGGAAACATTATCACCATAAAATTATTAGATTTGTCTAGTAAAACCTGACAGCTAGTAATCCTGATTCAGAGACAAGGTCTTAGAAGAGATCTTTGCCCTACATGCATTCAGCTTTGTCTTTCAGCTAATCAAAGCTTTTAGATAACAGTCAAACTATAAATTTGATTCCAAGTCCTGAAGGCAACATTACAGGAAAAAAAAAAAAAAAATATATATATATATATATATATATATATATATATATATAAACACAAGAAGAAAGCCCTGATAAAACTATATGAAGACTGAATTCCAGGAAAACATTGTCAAGATACATAGCCAAAATGAAGAAAGCAATACTTAACCTCATAGAGCTAAAAAGAAAAGCACCATTTCCTTCTCAGATTCTCTGAGCCTTGAGAGACAGAGCCAGTAGCAAATTACATCTGTTTGAGTGAAGGTTCTAAGCACTCCGGAAACACAGGACTGAAAATAGTACACGTGGCAATACCCACACCAGGAGCTGGTTCTGTTTCTGGGAAGCTCCTGGCAATACAACTCTACACATGGACTTTCTTTTTTAATCTGTACCTCCAAAGGCAGCAGTGACGCTGTAAGTACAGAGCACCAGAAAAGGAGGACTGAAAAAGCCCATACCATACATCTGGTAACAGATCCATCAGCACTGAAATACAAGAACATCACTTCTGCAAGTTCCACTGCCTCCCTCCTAGGACTGCTGACGATGATCCTGGAATCAGAGGAACTGCACAATCAGCAGCCATGAACAGCGGCAGAACTGCAGAATTTAAAAACAAGAAAGAGGCAAAGATCTTTTGACACTAGCTGTGTCAAAAGCTATTAAGTACGTTCCAGTGTTCAAGAGCACTTTTTGCACACTTTTCTCCTGCTACCAGTTGTCAGAAGCAGCTTTCCACCCTACTGGGCCTGCCCTACAGATTCAGCAGGCTTCGATTAAGTGCTAACTCAGAGCAGCAACAGGCAGTCAACAAGAGAAATTTCTAACAAAGCTGTGGAATTTTAGTGGTCTTACTGCTCCGCATACCAAGGATTAAATTACTGCTAACAGAGGCTGTACACACTTAAAACCTTCTGCTCCTTCTGTACAAAGTGTTTTTGTATACCTAAGAGATACAGGTGCAGGTACATGAAAGGTGACTTTTATCTAATGAAGTCAGAAATAAAAGTTGTTGTATTACAAATGACTTTATGAACTGCCTAGAGACAAAGAACATTCGGATTTAACAAGTCTTACAAAATTAGTTCTTTTATGAGGCTACAATAACAATTCCAGTTTTACAGAAGCAAACGATAGCTGGTGCAGCTGGATTTTTGCACACTGTTAACTGAGAAGTTACAACACCAAGCAACTATACTGAGTTTCCCAGTACTTACTTCTGTGTAAGGCTAGATCTATTGTGCCAAGTAAGCTCGTTTTCTAAGAATAACAGCAACCCCCAGAAACATGGCAGCAAGTCTAGAAAAGATTTAGTGGATCTGAAGACCTGACTTCATGAAAAAAAACATTCAGGCACAGCAAGTCTGCAAGTACTTTTCAGAGAAAAGAACTACCCTGTTTTGCTTTCCAACTAAGAAGTAATATGAAGGATCATGAGAAGAGGAAAAATACATTCTATGTGTCTTTCATGTCTCACATTGCAGTACCATAGACTTAAACTACAGCTCACATCCTTGATGAAATTAAAGCACTACAGACTTTCTGTCACAACACAACATAGCTAATGTGAGGCAATAGTTGTCTCATTTGATGAATTTGTTTCATGTTTTCATAGAGTTGGCAGAACAGATTGGACAACTTTGGATTTTGCTTTAGACTTCCTGAATTCTTTTCTGGCTAGATAGACTAGAATTCTTTACTACATGAAAGTAGAAAAAGAAGGTTGGAAAGCTGAAGTAACACTCGGAATGAAACAACGCTTTATTTCCTGTTGACAAGTTTTCTTGTATTAACATCTGACCTTACCAAAGGAGCTCAAGTGACAAGGCTACCCAAACAGTACATTCATTTGTATCCTGCAAGAGATGTTTATGTAAATTAGGTTCGGTTCACTAACAATGAGATTCTGAAGCAGTCTCACATTTTGATGTTCCTCTCACCTTATGATCTGAAACAACCTGAGATACCTGTTTACAGCAGTACTCATCATTTGATTGAAGCTGAGCTTGCTACAAACAAAATACTCTTATGTCCCCAGATATGCTGCATGAGGCCACATTTCATTAAATATCTAAAATATGTCATCTCTATGCAGAAGGGATAGAGAGGAGACTTGCTTTTTTTTTTTTTTTTCAGTAAACAATAACAAAGCCTAACTCTACAAATTCTTCAAAATGTATCAAGCCATCCTATCTGAATCCTTGGAAATAAGGTTTCAGAGAAATGGAAATGAGTCCTACAGACTCGTTCTTATTCACAACTGTACGCTTTGTCCCTGGTGACATTTCAACATCCTGATCTTTTTCCTTACCTTTTCTTCTTTAAAGACATTATTCAGTCTCACTAATTATTTTCCAATATTTAAGCATGATTAAGCAAACAGCGTACAAGCATTTGAATAAAACCACTTCAACTTAACACAGGTAACATTCTAGTGCCTTCTCAAAAGTGTCAGAAGAAAATTGCAGTAAGCTTTAACATTTGAAAAATAAAGCTGTGGGAAAGGTGGATAGCTCCATCATGTGGATTATAGCAATAGAGAAATGTCTGTATTAAAGGAAGGTCTGAACCAAGAAATGTATCAACTACCACGTCAATAAATCCCTGCAACAAAAACTTACATGAATGCCAGTTAAATATCAGAAGCCTGAAATTTTCCTATAGAATTAAGCAAGTCAGAGCACAGTAAAAGGCACACTGAATGAAAATGCTCATGCAAATCCCAAGTAACATCATTATTCTGGTCTCAGACATGATCAGAGGTGAACACAAAATAATGCTGAAGCACATAAATGCAACCATTTTGGCATATAATTCATGTTTACAGTTTCTTAATTGAGATGATTAGAGTGCACAGACCTCTGTTAGAGCCTTCAGCTGGGATTTGTATTCGCTTACTTCTTCTGTTAACGTGTCCTTCTTCATCTGTAGATCACCCAGCTCTTTTCTTAAGGAATGGACCACTTCATAGAATCGAATCTAAAAGAACAAGATACATATTCAAAACAAAGACTTGCAAAAATACACATTTCTTTTCAACTGAGGCAGCTCTCAGTAGGCTGCTTACTAAAAGCTACAGGTCATAGGTGACCACGAGGTCCCACACCCACTTGTGGCAACTCTAGAGCCTCTTTGACTAGCAATTTACCAGCTTAACTTCTAAGCTCCCTGAACCAAGCTACGTTTTTGTGGGGTGTGAAGCAAAGAAGAGAGATTAGTTTTGCTTTCTGACAGCTCAGTGGGCTAAGACTGCTCCTTCTTCATCAAAGAAAAAGAAAGAGCAAGTGTAGAAGGGGGCACAGCAAACATCCAGGAAAAAAAAAAAACAACAGAGCACCCCCCACACAATTTTAACACAACAGGTTGCTCTATGGGTTCAGCTGCTTTACAGAACCATACTACTAGTATGTTTGGGTTCTGTGACGTGCATTCTAACTGAAGCAACTGGAAAGTTTTGGTTTCAGCTCCTATAGAACTACATCTTATCTGAACAAAACTCTTTTAAAAGGATTTTCTAACAACCCGTCCCACATATTCCTTCCTTCACCCATCCCACCCCAGTCATAGGCACAGTCTCATATAAAAAAGAAAATCTCACAGCTATAAAACTTTCCTAAAATGCTTTTACTGAACAAGAGCACTACAAAACAGAGTAATAAAAACACAGTAGTGAAAAACAAAGCATAAAACAATGAAGAAAGAGCTTTTATGATGTTACACCCTCGCTCCTACTGTAACCTCCATGTTAACTCAATACTTACAAGTATTTCTTTTGGGGGGTGAATAGAACACCAAGCATTATTTTCATGCAAAAATTACTGCATTGCTCCTCCCCTCCCATCCCTCGACATTTTGTCTTACATACAATTAAAGAAGAAAAACAAGTGAAAACACATAGATAAAGGAAGCGTTCCAGAGCAAGCAAATGCTTCCATGCGGGAAGGCAGGTCTCTGTTCTGCTGCAAACAGGAGACCATGAGAAGCATCGAAGGCTTTGATATGCCTAAGCTTACTTACATCTTTAATTTTGTTCATATTACAAGCAATAGGTTTTTAAAATTACAGTCAAATTAGACTCAGAAAATGATATTGCAACTTTTTCTTCATATTCTGTAAATTCCAAATGGCAACTACGAATTTTACTTTCATTTACAAGTGAACTAACTGAAGCTATTTTATTTCTATACCATTATCTTATTCTACAGTTTCATTACTGTTTCATTTTTGGAGTAATCTAGCCCTATAATTTTTAAAGAGTTTTTCTCATGTAAAAGTGAAATCACATTGTGTTGACATGAAACTGAACAGCAGAATTAGTTTTGTGTGTTCTTTCTAACTTCTGACCTACAATAGGCTTCAACTACTTCCTTATAGAAAATGTTTTAGAACTCCACACGCAATGCTGCTCTCTAGCTTAACTACAGCTTAACTGTACTTAAGTCTTAACTACAGCTACCAACTGACTACAGCTTTCACCTGGCTGGATTATTTAGGAATTAGCCTGATGACAACTAAAGCTGATAACTGAATTTCAATCAAATCCTTTCCCCTCTAAAATTATTCTTCTTGAAAAACAAGCTTTGTTGTCACCAACTGGTAGCCATTTGAAGTAGAATCACAGAACCATAGAATTGCTCAGGTTGGAAAAGACCTTACAGATTACCGAGTCCAACCACAACCTAACCATACTGCCCTCACTCTAACAACCCTCCACAAAAATCACGTTCCTGACCACTGCATCCAAACGATTTTTAAACACATCCAGGGATGGTGACTCAACCACCTCCCTGGGGAGCCAATTCCAGTGCTTCACAACCCTTTCTGTAAACAAGTGTTTCCTGATATCCAACCTAAACTTACCCTGGCACAACCTGAAGCCATTTCCTCTCGTCTTGTCACCTCTCACCAGTGAGAAAAGACCAGTCCCACTCTCGCTGTAAGCAGCTTTCAGCTATCAGAAGAGAGCACTAAGGTCTCCCCTCAGCCTCCTTTTCCCCAGACTAAACAGCCCCAGCTCCTTCAGTCACTCCTCATAGGGCATATTCTCCACCCCTTCACCAGCCCTATTGCCCCTCTTTGGATCTGCTCCAGCACCTCAGTGTATAGTTGGGCTAGAAACAGCACGGTGTAGAAGAAGGGAAAATTAGCTTCTGTTAAATGCAGTTATCTGAAAACAGCTGCTTCAGTCAAGAGCATTCTTAAAGAAGAAAGCATGTGAGCTGCAGAGGCAATAATTAAGCAAATGAAAGACACTGGGGAAAAAAAAATCAAATATAATTTTTAACAACTGTTTTCCCTTCAGGATTCAGAAGAAAAAAAATAGCATTTACCTATCTTTCCGGCTCATTCTGAACAACTTATTAAACTGAAGAACTGAGACATACTCACAGACTCATTTAAACAAAAAGGCAGCTGAATTTATTTCGACAGGTGTGTGCATAAGATGCTCACAATTTTACACACTGCGTTTTATGGTTCAACTGCCAAGCAAAGCACCAGTTCAGCGGCCTGAAGTACTTCCCATGTTTGTCATAAACTGTTTCTTAAAAAAATCACTCTTGTATGTGATAAAAACCCCTAACTTCTTACATACAATCTCACTTTTCACGTCCACATAAATCGAAGTTTTTACAAGTTCTTAACAAGGAAGCAACACTTTTTAAGAGAAAGATGCTTAAATCAACATTTCCACTTTGTCATCATCACTCAGGAGAAACATTGCTCAGTCTTTCTTTTAACATGTCACTACTGCGCCCCTTTGTGGAAGAAAAGAGAAATACACATAGAAATACACATCACACTCGTTTCAACTCTAGTCAAAAATTCAAAAGATGATCTATACATTAAAAACCTGTACTCCTGCAGTTTGTCCAGAGTACTTGGTTTCACGTTAATACAGATATTATATATAAATTTGTTTGCATGCTGATGAATTATATGGCATAGTTTAATGCTGGTAAACAGTGGGAAAAAAAAAAACAAAAAAGGTTTTCAAGTCTAGAACTTTCTTGCTCAAATTTTCTGTAAGCAGAACTTTTTCTCACCAAGAGAAGTTTACTTAACATAAACAGACTGCTATCTGTCTACGCATAGATCTGCAACCTGAAATTGTATCTATCTGGTGGTACGCAGCTGATCTCATAGGTCTTTTCCAAACTTGGTGATTCCACGATTTTATAAGCACATCATTCCTCCTTAGGTAAGCAAAGATGAAAACATCTGAAAAACTACACCTTTCCCTCAGCATCCTTCCTTTCCTAAACTTTAGAAGTCAATTAGATGCATAGACAGGACATGTAAAACAGCTTTGTAGCCTCCCAGTGCCTGGATCTGCCAAGAAAGCTCAGTGATCGCTTATTCTTAAGTGGCATAGCCAAGTTCACTTGATTCCATTAAGAAAAGTTGGGAAAAGAAGCAGAAAGCAGCATCTTACCACAGCGTATCTTTAGAATGTTTTCTTCTGGGGAGGGGAGCAGAGCAGCGTTGGGAAGGGATAAAAACCAGGAGTTCTTCAAAAGAGCAAACTGACACACATATAAGGAGGAAACAGGCTTCAGCAGAACTGTATTTGGTCACAGACAAAGTAGCCAGGTGAATGTCTGAGACAAGGAAAGGTACTGGGACAGAAGAGTGTTACTGACCACTGTCATTTCATGTATTTGAGAACCCTTTCCTGCACTCTAATACAATCTAAGCACACTGATTGTACTGCGACAGCTTTGCTTACAGCAGCTGGCAAGTTATCACCTCCTGGAGTCTGTTCTGCACAGCTTTCAAACTGCCTGTCAGTCAACTCCTGAAGTACTGAACCTTTCTGCACACTGGCTTCAAGCAAGCTGACAAGGAACTGAATTTGTGTTTAAAATCTCCTTTGTTGACTGTGGCAACACAGAACTCAACAGCAACAAACTACTTCCAGATAGTTATATTGAAGGCTAAAGGGAAAATAGGCAGGCAGTAGTAACCTAGTGGGCCTCAACCTCATCATTTTTGCTTTAGCACCTGGAGCCTTGAAGTTTTCCTAGCACTTTTAAAAGTATAAATTTTGGAACTTCTGAAATGGATGCTCCCAAGAATGTCTCCCTTCTGCTAACAGGAATAGGTTTTACTTCACTGTACATACCTATTACTACGACTTCCATCTAGCAACAGGGTCATTCACACAATATACATAACTAATGCACTGAGCTTCTTAGAATTACCATCATTACAGCTTCCTTAATAACTACCTCTATAGATAAGTACAATGCTAATACTTTGGCGAATCAAGGTTTATATCCCTAAACCCTTTGCATTCTCAGAAGCAAGCCAGGATGCTCTGGACATGTCAAAAATCTATGAAAGCATTGTACTTTCATTGCAAGCTGAGTTCCATCACTGACTCTGTATTGACGCATGAGCCAGAATTAACAAACTTTTTAAAATAATGTAATAATGAAAGTATAATTTAAGCTACAGTCTGGCTTCTGGAAACGGCCAGTTGGAAAGCATAACAAAAAAACAAGAGATGTTTTCAGAACTTGTTCTGGCAAGCTGAGTTAAAAATTCCTTCAGCCTGTTGTATTCCAGATCATCAGTGTGTCATTTACCATTATCTAACTGAACTACCTTATTTGTTTCACCTCCATAAAATGAATCAGCATTTCTATTCAACATGCCATTAAAAGGTTCTCTTCTTTACTCAAATCCAATTAGAATGCATGGATCCAGAAGCACGTCATAGAAATACAGAGTTGCTCAGGTTGGAAAAGACCTTAAAGGTCATCGAGTCCAACCACAACCTAATCATACTGCCCTCACTCTTAACAACCCTCCTCTAAATCATGTCCCTGAGCACCACATCCAAACAGTTTTTAAACACATCCAGGGATGGTGACTCAACCACCTCCCTGGGGAGCCAATTCCAGCGCTTCACAACCCTTTCTGTAAACAAGTGTTTCCTGATATCCAACCTAAACTTACTCTGGCACAACTTGAGGCCATTTCCCCTCATCCTGTCACCAGTGAGAAAAGACCAGCCCCGCTCTCGCTGTAAGCAGCTTTCAGCTATCAGAAGAGAGCAATAAGGTCTCCCCTCAGCCTCCTTTTCCCCAGACTAAACAGCCCCAGCTCCTTCAGTTACTCCTCGTAGGGCATATTCTCCAAGCCCTTTACTAGCCTCGTTGCCCTTCTTCGGACCTGCTCCAGCACCTCAAGTGTCCTTTCTGTACTGACTCCCCTAGTCCTGCTCACTGCACCATTCCTGATACAAGCCAGGATGTCACGTCTACACAGAAGTATCTCCTTTCTAGTTGGGAAGAATAAGAACAGACAAGTAGTCTGGCTCTGCTGTATGTAGGTCCCCTAGCTTTAAGTAGAAGAAATTTATAGCTTGGACTGGGTTGAACCTAGCCTACAGTCCTATTTCCATTTAGCCGCTCACTGTTCCCAGTTGAAGCAGGACAGAGGGAGAACAGGAGGACCAAAAGCAAGAGAACTCAGGGGTCAAGTTTTCTCAACTGTTTAATAAAAAATGGAGGGAGGGGAATTTAAAAGAAAAAAAAGCAATGCTGAGACGTCACTCATCACCTCCCAGAAGCAGCCAGTCTGAGTGACAGCCACCTTGGAAGCTACCATCCCCCACCTTCCTCCTCTGCCTCCAGTTCCTCCAGTTTGTGTTGCTGAGCATGACACTATTATATCCCTTTAATCAATATAGGTCAGCTCTCCCAGCTGTGTCCCCTTTCAACCTCATGCCAACCCCTGGCCTTTTTAGAGCCAAAGCAGCAGAAAGACAAAGCCCCAACAACTTACAATTTCCAGCAACAGCGAAAGCCCTGATGTGTTTCATCACTGTTTAGCCACTGTTGTCAGCAACAAGCCACAAAACCAAAACACAGGAAGATATAAAGCTATCATGAAGAAAGTTAATTCCAACCCAGTCTGACCTTCCACATGGCTGTATTTTAAGCCAATGCCGGACACAATACTCACAGAAACATATTCTGGGATGGAAAGCTGATCTTCAGGCAGAGACTTCAGCTTCTCGTAGCCATCCTCTGTTAATTCCAAGTCACGCAAACTACGACGGATATCTCCAGCCCTCTCCCTTAACTGATGATTTGTTTCCTCCAGTTGCTTTTGTCTCAATAAAATAGTTTCCATTTCTTGTCTCATTAGCGCCTGATGTTTTCTTTAAGATTGATTTGAAAACAGAAGACATGAAGTAGTGAGTAACACAAGTGACAAACGCTTACAATACCCTGCCTAGGGAGTAAGTTATGGTCATGTCATAGAAAAATGTAGAGTGACATTAGCTATACTGTGTACATGTGTTAAAATATGTCTGTGTACATGTATACGCACACTCATGTAAAACCAGGAGCTTCATAGTTCAAAATTACGCTGATAACAGCCCAAAGGCACCGACGCCAGCAATCTGATTCTGAGAAGTGACAATCTCAGCATGTGATGATTTTAATTCCCGTTAGCCTTAATTTGGCAATTTAACAAGTTAAAACTATGAGAAAACAGTATTTACTTCTACACAAAATTCAAGGAACTGGTAAGCAACCAAATAAAGCCATATTAACTTCAATGTGCATCTCGCTGACCTTTAGAATACACACAGTATGGTCTATTTCACACACATCCCTTCATTTCCACCCCATGTAACATCCAAAGCTGGGGTCCTTTAAAAAAATTTAGCAAGTAACTTAAACAAGAAACTTTGAAACAAAAAAAAAAATAAAAATAACTGATAGCATTACAAGACTTTTTTTTTTTTTTCCCCTAAGAAAACTCCACATCAGCCAAGCAGTCAGAGAAGGACAGTTCCTGTATATAGTGTACCATGCTGTTAAATGGGGATGTCAAGTAATAGACAGCAATGAGATGAAGAAATGAGGAAAGCAGTTCAACCTTTTTGCGTCCGTTAAGATTAATTTGCACATTAGCACGTTTTTACTGAGCACTCCTCACCAATTTGCATACAGGCAAACAAAGATATTCCAACCTTGTGCAAACAGGCACACAGAGACATTGCTCTGCTAATGACATACCCTTATGTGGGAGACTTTACTGTAACTAATCCCAAGTCTAGCTTCACAGCATTAAATCTGTTCCAAACTTATTAAAGAATATGGCTTTGAATTCGTCACATACTCTAAGCTGGTGTACTTTGTACCTTGATACAGTTAAGTAGTGCTGTATTTCACAGACCTATCACAGGTGTTAAAACAATTAATTGACAAAGTAACTTGGGAAAGCCTGCTAGCCAGTCTATTTTCAGCTATATATGAATTCAAAAGTTGCAAAAGAGCAAGGAGAAAGGTAAGTTTTTATTTTGTTAACAGAAAGTCATTCTGGGAAAGCATTTCTGACCAACTAGCAATTCTCACTGGAAGTGCTGAACGTTATTTTCCCAAGGTATCCAGGCTGCAGTGTCAATCTGCCTGGGGGTAGTGAGGCCCTACAGAGGAATCTGGACAGGCTGGAGAGCTGGGCTGAAGCCAATGGGATGAGGTTCAACAAGGCCAAATGCCGGGTCCTGCAATTTGGCTGCAGCAACCCTGGGCAACGCCACAGGCTTGGGGCGGAGTGGCTGGAAGACTGTGTAGAGGAAATGCACCTGGGGGTATTGATTGATGCTCGGCTGAACATGAGCCAGCAGTGTGCCCAGGTGGCCAAGAAGGCCAATGGCATCCTGGCTTGCATCAGAAATAAGAGTGGCCAGCAGGAACAGAGAAGCGATTGTCCCCCTGTTCTCGGCTCTGGTGAGGCTGCACCTCCAGTACTGTGTCCAGTTTTGGGCCCCTCACTGCAAGAAAGACATTGAGGCCCTGGAACGTGTTCAAAGAAGGGCAACAAAGCTGGTGAGGGGTCTGGAGCACAGGCCATATGAGGAGCGGCTGAAGGAGCTGGGATTGTTCAGTCTGGAGAAGAGAGGCTCGGGGAGACCTTATTGCTCTCTATAACTACCTGAAGGGAGGTTGTAGTGAGCTGGGGGTCGGCCTCCTCTCCTGTGTAACTAGTGGTAGAACTAGACGGAATGGCTTCCAGCTGCGCCAGGGGAGATTTAGGCTGCACGTTAGGAAATAGAACTTTTCTGAAAGACTAGTCAGGCACTGGAATGGGCTGCCCAGGGAGGTGGTGGAGTCACTGACCATGGAGATGTTCAAGAAATGTCTGGACACTGTGTTGAGGGACATGGTTTAGTGAGTGCTATTGGTGATAGGTGTATGGTTGAACTGGATGATCTTGAAGGTCTTTTCCAACCTTGGTGATTTGGTGATTCTGTGATCTTTGTACTCTCAGTTTCAGGGACAGCTCAACTCAAACTTACTTTAGAATGGAAATTTTACTACAATCTGCCATAGAAATCCCATTTCTGTAACTCATGATCATCATTTTTCATTAACACGAATTCACATTAAGTATTAAAGATGAAGGTTTTTGTGTTACTTGCCATACCTAGCATCTTCTTGCTGCAATGCCAGCTGGCTATCCAGTCGCAAAGACAACAGCTGCTTCTGATGGATTGCATCATTCAGCTTCTCTTCTAGCTCTTCAATCTAAGAAGTATAAATATAAAATGAAGTTACCTTGTTCTTTGTAGAATTTTTTTTTTTAAATCACAAGTAGAGAACGCAATGCCCTAGAAAGTACAGTAACTGAAGATCTCTACAATAACAAAATCTATAATTACACTAAAGCTTTGCAAAATAAGATATGGAGTTTGCTCTAAAAAACTCAAAATTAAAAAAAAAATAGTTCTAGAACTGTTGTATTTTGATCACATAGGTACTTGAATTCAACTGATTTCAAACTATCCTTTAAACTTTGGTCAACAAGCTAAGGAAAGCCACAGCTGTATGGAAGGTTGTAAACACAAACCTCACACAGGCAGGGCAAAGTTTTTACACCTTTCAAAATCCCATGCATCTTTACTGAAACCGTACACAACAAGACCTCCTACTATTAATTAGTATGCCAGTATACTTTAGCCACACCTTTGCTATCAAATCAAGGAAGGCTGCTGATGAGGTTTGCTCGCTTTCACTAACTTCTGGTCAAAAGCCCTGTTAAGTTGCTCACATCAGTGGTTAATCATTTTTAATTTCTGAAAAGAAAAAACATCTTTTTCCTTTGTTTTTGGAAACGGAAAAACTAAAGAAAACCAGTTTGATCTGGGCAGCCTGGTCTAGTGACACTGCCCGCAGCAGGAGGGCTGAAACTATTGGATCTTTGAAGTCCTTTTCAACCCAGGCCACTCTGATTCTATGATCCTACCTCATCCATTCCTAAGAATGAGGCAGCAGACAAGTCATTTAAATCTTCCATATCCCTCTTTCCCTCCTTCTGTGGTTTAAAACCAATACAAATTAAAGAAGCATAGAATGGACTGGGTTGGAGGGGAAATTAAAGACCACTGATTTCCAAGTCCTGCTGCAGGCAGGGCTGCCCCCCACCAGCTCAGGCTGCCCAGGGCCCATCCAAGCTGGCCGTGAGCACCTCCAGGGATGGGGCACCCACAGCTTCTCAAGAAGAGGCTAACGAGGGTTCCAGCACGCAATCCACAGACGTTCTTTCTCAAGCTTCTCACTGAAAGCACCAGAAACAGCATTGCACGACAAAAGACACGTAACAGCTCTGACCTTGGTCAAGTATTCCACTTTCAGGTTGTCGATCATGAGGTTTTTCTGCGACAGCTCTATCTTCAGCAGCTGCAGGCCGTGCAGCAGCTCCTTGCGCTCGATCAGCTGCCTGGTGACCCGCGCCGCGCCCTCCCGCTCCTCGGAGGAGGACAGCTCGTCGGTGGGGACGGTGGTTTCCAAGCTGATGTCCTCCGACTCCAGGGAGCTGGAGACGTTCGCCTTCCGGCCTTCCCCGGAGCTTTTACGGGACATTTTCTTACGCCGTTTGCTTCTTTAAGTTACGAGCCGCCCTGAAGAGCCAACGGCAGAAATCGAGACCACGAAAGCGTTGCGCCGTGATAGAAACGAACCGAGCGAGACCACTAAGCGCAATTCCTCACGCGTCGTTCCCCTCCCCTGAAGGAAAACGCTCACGGAAGGTCTGAAGAGGGCGCTTTCCTGAGGACTCCTTCCCGAGAGCTGCCCCCGCGGCGGTTCCGTCCGCAGGAAGCTGTAACGAGGCGCCGCGCTGCCCGCTAGAAGCGCGCCCGGGCTGCTGACTGACCAACCGACCGTTAACGGCCGGTGGGAGAAAAGCGCTGCCCCGCGCCCGCCCGGATACGGGAAGAAGCCTCAGCTGGCGGCGCACGCGCAGGTAGGCGGAGCCGCGAGACGCCATCACCACGGCGACCCGGTGGCCGCGCCGCTTCCCGCCCCGCGCGGCGGGGGACGCTGGGAAGAGGCCGCGCCGGCGCCATGCTGACTTCGCGGACCTTCCTGAAGCGGACGCGGGCGGGTGCCGTGGTGAAGGTGGTGCGGGAGCATTACCTGCGCGACGATATCCCCTGCGGTGCCGACGCCTGCCCGCTCTGCCCGGCCCGGCCCGGCCAGCCCCTGGGGCTCGAGGCGCGGCCTAGCGGCGCCGTCAGCGGCCTGTGCCCCGGGCCGCACTACCTGCTGCCCGACACCAACCTTCTCCTGCACCAGGTGAGCGCCTCGCGGCCTCGGTTCGGTTCGGTGCGCGCGGGTGGGGATGGCCCTGGGGCTCGTGCTGCCCTCAGCACCGCGCTGGGCCTTCCCCTGTTGTCCGCCTGTTCCCGAGGCTGCGATTTGTCTGCCTGCCACCGCAGTGAGGAGCTTTCAGCGTCGCCCGGACTGGCCTGGTTTAGGCCGTTGGGGCCGCGTACGATTCCACGAGTGTGGGATGAACTCTTCTTTGTATTTCGTCAGCAGTACAAAGTGAGAGGCGGAAGGATTGAGAGCAGCCCTACCGAGAGGGACCTGCGTGCCCTGTTGATGGGCAGGCTGGACATCAGCCAGCAACGTGCCCTCAGGGCCCTGAAATCCAACTGTATCCTGGGCTGTATCAAAAGAAGAGTGGCCAGCAGGTCGGGGAGGGTGATCCTGCCCCTCTGCTCTGTGCTGGTGAGGCCTCACCTGGAGTACTGCATCCAGATGTGGAGTCCTCAGAACAGGAGAGACGTAGACCTGTTGGATTGTGTACAGAGGAGGGCCGCAGAAATGATCCGAGGGATGGAATGCCTTCCGTCTGAGGGCGGGCTGAGAGAGCTGGGTCTGTTCAGCCTAGGGAAGGGAAGGCTGTGAGGTGACCTGATAGCGGCCTGTCAGTGTCCGAAAGGGAGCTGCAGGAGAGAAGGAGACTTTAGCAGGGCCTGTGATGATAGGACAAGGGGAAATGGTTTCAAGCTTGGAGATTCATGATCCTTTGGGTCATGAACCTTCTAACCCTGGCCATTAAAGAGGGTAGATTTAGGTTGGATGTAAGGAGATCTTTCACAGTGAGGGTGGTGATGCAGTGGAACGGGTTACCTGGTGATGTGTGTGGTTCATGCCCTGTCCCTGGAGACTTTAACAGCAAGGCTGAATCAAGCCCTGGGCAACCTGATCTAGATGCGTGTGTTCCTGTTCATGGCAGGGCAGTTGGACTAGATGGCCCTTGGAGGTACCTTCCAACTATAAGGATTCTATGATTCTAATTGCATGAAGGCTTGATGTGATTCTGCAGATGGAGCAGTAGCAGGCTGGAGGCAAGGAGCTCTCAAGCTGAATTCTGAGGGTTTTTTTGATTGCTGTTGAATGCGTCTGTATGGCATGCAGTAGCCTGGTGCAAATGTTTGAGACTGGGAGAAGAAGAACAAGATGTGACAGCCTTAAGTTGCAGCAGAGCAGGTTCAGGTTGACTGTTAGGAATAATTTTCTCAGAAAGAGCGGCGGTGCATTGGAAGAGGCTATCCAGGGAAGTTGGTGGTATCACTATCCCTGGAGGTGCTCAAGAAATGTGTTGCACTGTGTTGTTTGCCTGTGTGTTGCACTGAGGGGCATGAGTTAGTGGGCACAGTGGTCGTGGGTTGATGGTTGGACTAGATGATGTTAGAAGTCTTTTCCAACCGTAATGATTCGTTAGCCCTGAGTAATTCATGAAGGCTGTTGTCAGTTACTCAGGAGAAGGGCAGAGCGCTCTGGCATTTTAGCAGTTATTGAACACTCAGAGGATTTGCCAGGGTACACTGGGAAGAACCAGAGCAGTGGGGATGTGATGGTTGTGGTGACAGCAGGAACAGGTTTTTACCCAGCTACAAGGCTGCAACAGCAAGATTGGGCCTGGTAATTTAGCCTGCATGTAGAAAAACACCACAGTTCTTATGCATTTCCATTTTGTTCCTCAGATTGATATTCTGGAAGACCCTGTTATTAAGAATGTCATTGTGCTACAGACAGTTTTACAAGAGGTCAGGAATCGGAGTGCACCAGTGTACAAACGAATCAGAGACGTGATTGGAAACCCTGAAAAACACTTCTATTCCTTCACCAATGAACATCATCGGTATGGTTTAGAATAGGGTATAACGTTGTATTGAAGTTTGGTAAACAAACTGGTACGTGGAATCAGGCAGGTAAAATGAGACTGATGTGCACAACACTTGATATATCTAAGAAGTCCGTCTGAGGAGTAATTGGATGTTACAGGAGCTTTCTCATTTTATAGTTGGTGTTGGCACACCAACTATATCTTCTGAAAAGGTGATTAAAATTCTGAATAAACTTGTCTGGCAAGACCTTTAACCTGAGCAGTGGAATCATGGTTATGCATTTTACACAAATTCTGATGCATTATTACTACTGCCAGTTCAATCCGTAGAACTCAAATCAGCTAGTTAGCAGCAAAAAAAAGGGGATGCAGTTAATTTGCCTTTATGTAGTTTCTGCTACAGCAGCATCAAGGCTCAAGCAGTGCTTGTCTTGAATGCTGTTCTGTTCAGTCCTCAGTGAGGACACTGTGTAAGAAATTGCCATTTCCTCGTTAGTTTTTTTAATCCTGTGTCCAAAGCCTTCAGTGCTCTTTAATGTTACACGTTTTACAAATTGGTTCAGCTGTATTTCTTTTGTCCCTACAGTCTAAAATGTTCATCTGAAAACAATAATAATTGTAACTGTAGATAGATGTTTGGATTTCTTGTTTGATGTAGTTGGCTTTGCTAACCTTCTCCCTGCCTGCTCCCTCTTTTTTTTTTTTCTTATTTTAAATTGTTAGAGAAACATACATAGAGCAAGAGCAAGGAGAAAGCTCTAATGACCGCAATGACAGAGCCATTCGGGTAGCAGTAAAATGGTACAGTGAACACTTGAAGAAAATACAGAATGAGGAGAACGAAGACATCCAAGTTATCTTTCTTACAAACGACAGAAATAATAAGGAGAAAGCCCTTGAGGAAGGGATAACTGCTTATACGTGTAAGTATGGTGGCATGAAGATTTAATTTATTGCTCAGGTATAAAATTTCAAGTGTCTTTATACCTAAATTCTCTGCCTCTCTTGCATAAATATTTGTGTGTGCTTTTGTAGGTGAGGAGTATATTAAAAGCTTGATAGATAATCCTGATCTTGTAGATCGTCTTGCTTGCGTATCTGATGAAGGGGTATGTCTTTATTCTCTTTTGGTTTATTTATTTTATAATATAATTTTGCAGTCTGTTATTGGATGCCGTTTGTCAGGCTACTAGCATCAGTTCAGAAAAAGGACTCTGGTCTTCATTACCATTTTGACAGTAAAACTTCTTGATGACTGAAAAGAATACTGCAGCTATTTTAAGTGCTGCTGATATGGCTATTGGAAGGTATTGTTTAGTTCTTTGTAAAAAGCCAGTTGCTAACATGGGAAGCTTAACAAGCGATTCAAGGAAGTGTATAAGTACTGCAAATAATTGAACTATAATTAAAACTTCAGAAGTCTGCATGACAAGCCATCTAGAAGTTTGTTTTGTGTCTGTTATTTCACAGTTCATTTGTCAGAAACATGTTTGATGAAAAGATTCGATATAGTCGTAAGTTGATAGAATTGTGTGCTGCAGCTCGAAGATGGGTTACTTCATCATCGTAGAATTATGGTAGAATGGGTTGGAAGCCCATCTGGTTTTCCCCTCAGGCTGTGGGCAAGGTTGCCACCCACTAGAACAGAATTCCCCACCCAGGCATGTCCCATAAGACTGACATAGCTGAAAACTAGCACACCTAAAGTAAAGTGAACGAAGGGATGCCATTCAGAGGGACCTTGACAGGCTGGAAAGGTGGGCCCAGGCGAACCTGATGAGGTTCAACATGGCAGACAAAGTGCAGAGTTTTGCACTTGGGCTGGAGGAATCCCCGGCATCCATGCAGACTGGAAAGAGCGGTCCTGGAGAGCAGCCCTGTGGAGAAGGACCTGGGGGTCTTAATAGATGAAAAGCTTAACATGAGCCAGCAGCGTGCCCCTTGTGGCTTGAAAAGCAAACGGTATCCCAATGGGCTCCATCAGAAGAGGGGTGGCCAGCAGGGACAGGCAGGTGATTGTCCCCCTCTACTCTGCTCTTTTGAGGCCCCATCTGGAGTACTGTGTCCAGGTGTGAAGCCCCCAGTACAAGAAAGACAGGGAGCTGTTGGAGAGGGTCCAGAGGAGGGCCACAAAGATGATCAGGGCACTGGAGCACCTCCCCTACGGAGACAGGCTGAGGAAGCTGGGCTTGTTCAGGCTGGGGAAAAGGAGGCTGCGGGGTGACCTCATTGTAACCTTTCAGTACGTAAAGGGAGCCTAGAAACAGGAGGGGCATGAACTCTCTGAGAGGGTAGATAACTGCAGGACAAGGGGAAATGTTTTTTTTAAGTTGAGGGAGAGGTTGGATGTTGCGGTAGTTCTTTACAAGGAAAGTGGCGAGGTGCAGGAACAGGCTGCCCATAGAGGTTGTGGATGCCCTGTTCCTAGAGGTGTTCAAGGCCAGATTGGATGGGGCCCTGGGCAGCCTGGTCTACTAGATGATCTTTGAGGTTCTTTTCCACCCAGGCCATTCTGTGATGATCGTTACTCTAATAGATTGGAGTGGGACATGCAAGAGTGGGAGGCTGAGCTGATCTTTTCAGCAGTTATCTGCAGTTCATTTAACTTTGACTGATTCATGCAGCTGCTCTGTGCTCTGTAGTACTGTCCTAATGTTTTTTTCCAAGTCTATGTTTAGTGAATGCATAAAAACAAACAAATGTCTCCATCACTTGTGTAGTGACCTCTTAAGTCTGTGCAGGCAAGCAGGGAGAGAAACAGAGGTGTTCTTAGTGTTGTCA